ATACACCACCATGCCTAGTTGCTTTAAAAAATTTTTTTGCAGCCTGTAATCCCACGCCTTTGGGAGGCTGAGGTGAGAGGATTGCCCGAGCCCTCGGTTTCAAGCCCTCGGGTAGGCAAGACCTCATCTCTACAATAAAAAAATCAAAAAATTAGCCAGGCGTGGTAGCACGCACCTGTAATTCCAGCTACTTTGAAGGCTGAGGCAGAAGGATCGCCGGAGCCCAACAGGTCGAGGCTGCGGTGGCGGGGAGTGGCCACTGCACTCCAGTCTGGGCGACAGAGTGAGACTCCAACTCAAGAAATAAAAATTTTTTTTGTAGAGATGGGATCTTGCTGTGTTGCCCAGACTGTTGCCCAGGATAGTCTCAAACTTCTGGACTCAAGTTATCCTTCTGCCCTCAGCCTCCCAAAATGCTGGGATTGCAGATGTGAGCCACTGCGCCTTGCCCACTTATGTTTGTTCTAAACCCAGTATCTTCTTGCTATTCTCTGGTTATGTCTGCATTTGACCTGCGGACTTTGTCTTTCAGCAATATGTGTCTACTTGATACTCTTTTCCGTCTGTATTATGCCAATGAGCATCTCTCTCTTGGACTGTAGCGTGTTTATTGTTCCAGTTAGTACCGCTCAATTCCAACCATGGCAGGAATATCTTGCTTCCAGAGTCATGTTTGTGGAAAGGAGCCCGTGGTGAATACTGCCGCTATCTTGTCACGTGAGAGGGGATGGAGGATTTTTTTTTTTTTTGACAGCTGACAGAGTTTGTTAGGGAATTTGCTATTATTCCCATTAAGGGAGTGGTTAAAATAACTAAATTAAAATTAAAAGTCAACTTATATTAAGTATCAGTAGAAGTTAAGAGAGGAATGTACCTTAATTGTTCTTGCATTTGTTTATAGTTTTTTTTTTTTGAGTCGGTGTCTCACTCGGTCGCCCGCATGCTCATGGCCGGCTCAGGCGATCCTTCCACCTGGCCTTCCAAGTAGCTGGAACTACAGGCATGTGCCACGCCCGGCTAATGTATTTTTAAATTGTGCTTAAATGTATACATATTCTCTAAACAAAGCAGTTAATACATATATCTTGTTCATTTTTAAAAGCAGAATAAATTGGCCAAACAGCGTATGGTTTGATGTACCCCCATGACAGGTTATTAGTGAAAGAATAGTTAAATATTAAACTCCAAATTGCTTAATTAAAACGTGTTCTCATACACACACAAGACGTACACATGCATATTTTATTGTTGAATTTTTCTCTGACTTGAAGGTGAGACCTAGAAGTTTGATATTCTGTTCAGAATATGTCTCTAGCACACAACTAGTAACATACTTTTAAAAAGTAGTATCTTTTTTTGTTGTAAATAGAATGCCTAAAAGGATAAACAATGTTGGTTCTGAATTTTTAAAAAAAACAGAACAGTATTTGAGGTTCCAATGGTCTCTTTAAATTTTCATAGATTAACACTGTTTGCTTGCACTAAGTTTTGTTTCAGAGCTTTTTCATCAGCCATTTATTTGTGGTTAATGATTGTTAACAGAAAAATGAGACATTTCTACAGTGGGGAGTTAACTTGGCTCTTAACCTGTGATTTCCAACTTAATTAGACTCTGTTGTTCTTATTTCTAAAGTGGCATATCTAAGATATGAATTTTTATACCCTTTATTATAAAATAATTTTCTTACTAAAAGTGTCCTCTACCAATTCTCAATAGATTTCTTTAGAAAACAAAAAGATAATGTGTAGGGAAGAGGGTTGGGTGATTCCCTTTCTTTTATTGATTTATTTTTTTTGAGTTGGAGTCTCACTCTGTCACCCAGACTGGAGTGCAGTGGCCGCTCCCGGCCACCGCAGTCTCGACCTGCTGGGCTCCGGCGATCCTTCCGCCTCAGCCTTCCGAGTAGCCAGAATTACAGGCATGCGCTACCACGCCCGGCTGATTTTTTGATTTATTGTAGAGATGAGGTCTCACTGCCCAGGCGAATCTCGAACCCGCAGGCTCAGGCAATCCCCTCACCTCAGCCTCCCAAAGACGCGGGATTACAGGCTGAGCCACCGAGCCCGGCTTGATTCCCTTTCTTTTAGTTTATCTGAAATTACTTGAGTTTGTAGTATGCCGAACTATTTTCACAAATTAGACTAAGAGTTAATCATTTGAAAAAATTCAAAATTAGTATTAGTGTATAGTTTGAAAGCTAAATTAGTTATATTTATTCCTTTGATAATTGTTCTTTGAAAACTTTCAGATGGGTTTACTTAAATTTATGTGTCTTGATCAACTTGTGGTGTTACTTTGAATTTGTATACATTGTATATCAAGTGAAAGTAGAAGAGATGAAATTGTATTTTATAATCCTAACTAGGAATGTAACTATACGTGCTTAGAGTTTGCATGGTCTTTTTTTTTTTAATTGTTTTAACTCCCCTGATAAAATTTCAGAATGTACGTGGTCTTTAAAGCAGTCACATATACCTAACAAATTCCTGCAACAACTGTACGACTCATCCTTTCACTCAGCAAATATTTATGGAGAGCCTGCTATGTATCTGGGATGTATGTTCAGTAGCTGCAGAGGCCCTGAGGGCAATTCATACGTGATATGTTTCCAGAATTAGGGGCATCTGTTTGGGGTATTGATTTTGAATTTGTGAGCGGTGAAGCCTGTTAGACAGTCTAAATCAGGTAGATTGTTAGATATGTATGTCTAGAGTTCAGGGGGAAGGGCCTGGAACCAGAGATACAAATTTGGGAGTTGCCAACATATAGATAGTATTTAAAGCGATGAAGCTGGATGATATCACCAAAAAATTGCATGCAAGTAGAGACCATTTTAAGAAAAAGAATAGCATAGAACTGAGTAAAAAAAAAAAAAAAAAAAAAAAAATCAGGAGAATATGGTGTCCTGTAGGCCATGTAGAGTGTGTTTCCTGGAGGGCAGGAGAAGTGTGTGTTTCCTGGTCAGGTGCTGCTGGATGGTCATGTGAACTGAGACTTGACCATGGGATTTGATTTATTGGTGTGAAGGTCACTGGCAACTCTGACAAGAACCATTTCAGTGGGGTGGTAGGGGCAAAAACTTAAAATTAGAAATAGTTCAAGACAGATGGGGAGGAGAGGATTTGGTGACAGAATATGTACCAACTCTTCCAAGGAATTTTGTTGCAAAGAAAGGCAAGCAATAGATTGGAATCTGAAGCAGGGATAGTGACTTATTTTGTTTGATCTGGTTTGAATTTTAAGTTGGGGAAGATAATAGTAGGTTTGAATGCTGCCATAACAAAATACCGTAGACTAGGTGGCACATAGACAACAGACCTTTCTTTCTTAGAGTTCTGGAGGCTGAAAAGTCCAAGATCGAGGTGCAGGCAGATTTGATGTCTGGTGAAGGTCTGTTCCTCACAGATGGCAGCCCCTGGCTATCTGTGTCTCCATGTGTGTAAAGGGTGACGGAAGGGATTCTCTGGGGCTGCTTTCATCCCACCTTCGTGACATAATCACCTCCCAAAGGCCCCATCTCCTCACACTGTCACTGGGAATTAGGTTTCATATATGCATCTGGGGGAGACACAAGCATTCTGTCTAGAGCAGCTGGTGACAGGAATCCATCAGAGGGGGAACAACCAGTGATGGGGAGTGAGAGGAGTCATTTGTAGGAGTGAGTCCTGAGGAATGCACGAGGGAGGTGTTACCAAGGTGTTGGGTGGGAGCGTGGACAGTTCAACTATACTTACGGGGGGAAGGTAGACCCTGTGGGTTCAGGTGGTAAACGGGCAGGGGGGTAGTGGGGAGAAGCAAGCTCCTTTGGTTACCTCTGCTTTCCTTGGAGACTGAGGAAGCGTAGTCACTGTGATGTGTGAGGTCGAGAGAGTTGGTGTCAGAAGTTTGTGGAGGGAGGAGAAGTGAACTGGTTACTGTGGTGTAGTGGGGTGGTGGCTAGACGAGGGAAGTGTGTTGTGATTGCTGAGCATCAGCAGTAGGTTATGGTCATGAGTTCAAGTGAGGCCAGCCAGCCTGATAATGTTTTTCTTTAGCTACATTCAGCTATGTGGAGGAGGAATGAGAAAAGGGAGAAAATGGGGTTTGACCAGACTGGATTCTTCCAGGGTGTGGTATGTGAGGAGTAGGGAGCTGAGGGTGTACGAACAGTAGTGCTTAAGACGAAGGCCTGGGAATTTCAACTGGTCAAGAAAGAAGTGAGGGCATGGTGGTAGCGAAGGCTGTATAGGTTCTGGTGGAATCTGGTGGAATCAGGGAAGTAAAGAACGTGAGCTGGAAAGAGAGAGTTTGGTAACTGAGGGGCCGCAGCGACTGGTAATAACACGATCTAGTGTCTGACCACAGGAGTGGCAGAGGCAAGGCAGACAAATAGTGAAAACCCAAATAATTGAGGCAGAAGCGTGTCAGGTATGTTAGGTAGTGACAGTAAACCAGCAGCTAACAAGGCTCCCTGGATATGGGGCTAGTGACCCAAGGGTCAGGAGGGTAGCAATGGAACCGTCGGATCGTGAGGATTTTCAGGGAGCACAGGAAAAAAATGACCTGGAAATAATGAGATACAAAGAGTGAACCTGCTCCATCAGTGGGCAAAGGTTATGGGGGGAGAAATTATCTTTTCTTCTGGAGGGAAGCAGTGTCCTTGGGAAAAGCCAGTTTCTATGAGAGCAAGAGAAGGTGCACGTTGGGGAAGACTGTTTCAGGAGGTAGGGTGAGTCGGAGAAGAGGACAGAGCAGGGATGTTGAGCTCCCATGGGGATTAGCGTGAGGAATGAGGGAGGGGAGCCTACGAGTGTGGAGCTTTTCATGAGAAACTTGAGCAAGCACAGGGCACAACTGAAGTTATTCTGGTCTAAAGAAAGATTGTGGTGTCAAGTGTTGAGGGGAGGCAGGTCCTACCACTAGAGGCCTGGGCAAGACCTCGTTTTCTGTAGAGTCTGTAGAATAAGTACCCAGCATCCTAGATGTCTTTGTAATGTCCTGTTCTTAAAATTTACAGGTCATTAGTAATCATCAGCACCTTAGATGGGCGGATCGCTGCCCTAGATCCTGAAAACCATGGTAAAAAGCAGTGGGATTTGGATGTGGGATCCGGCTCCTTGGTTTCATCCAGCCTCAGCAAGCCAGAGGTGAGAATTTTCTGCTAACTGTCGACTGGAAAATGTACTTGTAATGAGCAATTGTTGATGTTAACAGGCTCAGGACCCTGCTGCCTGTGTTTGAGACCTGTCTGCCTCTCACAGTCTGTGTCCCTTTTGAGCCCTTAACTCTTCTGTTCCTTAGTTCCCCTCCTGTACAGGAGGATAGATAACAGCACCTACTCCCTGGGACTGTTTGGAGCATTAAATGAGTTAGTCATATAAACAGATAGCTGAGGATACTGTCTGCCATATTGAAATGATACATCGTCTGAGCTGTAAATGATCGTTTCTTATCACAAGATCCTTAGACATAATAAGAGAAACGCAAATTAGAATGTCATAGAGGTTTTTTTAAGGTAGAAATCCATACTGCAAAATCCCATACATGGTTGATCCCTGTGTTTTACCTCAAGTGTGTATCCTAATGGTAATCATAATTTGAAATTTTCTTGGAATGCAGTTCCAGACAAAATTGATTATTTATGGAAAATATGTACTTAGTAATTCTGAGCTCTAGAATGGCAGCAGGGTGAGAGCATAGATTCAAAGAGACCTTGCTTCCAGAACTACTCTGCACACGACGATGTCAAGACTTGAGCAGGTGACTTGGCCCCTCAGAGCTTTGGTGTTCTCCTCAGTGAAGTGAGGGTACTACTGCCTGCTCGGGTAGGGTGAGGTGGGAAGGAGGGAAGCTTATTTTGCTCACTTTTGGTATGACTCTGATGAGTGAAGCCTGTCTTCATTTCTGGAGCTATATTCTGTTGCTTAATTCATTTAAAAGTAAACCCATCTTTTGAGTTGTGACTGCTAACATTGAAGCCGTCACCTCTGCTTTTCAGAATGCCTCTGCTTTCTACCATATTGAAAAGTTCCTAGAGGACACTCCCGAGGGGAGTCCTTTTTTTTCTTTCATCATTTGTCTTTTCCTTTAAAAAGCTTCCTAGCTGGTGTTAACCTTGGAAAAGACAAAATCTAACATGAGGGGCTTGAGAATGACCTGAATGTTGATGACAGAATTTTCCAATGAGGAAACTGCTACCACCGACTCATTTGTAATACCAGACTTCCCTGTGCTCTCCAGTAAGCCCAGCCTGCATCTTTTCTGATGCACCCAGGCAGGTACTGGAGGGGAGCAGCACTACCAAATTTCCACATTCACTGTGTGCTGAACCCTGACTAAACTTTCAGTGTGCCTGTTATTTGTCAGACAGTATACTGAAAATACCTTTTAAGAATAGTGAACTAGCCGGGCTCGGTGGCTCAGCCTGTAATCCCGTGCCTTTGGGAGGCTGAGG